GGGTCGGTCGTTCCTGACGGCTGTGCTTACCTTAAAAACCTCGCATTTCCGAAGCTTTCCATGGTGTGCTGCAGGCCTCGCTCACCATGATCAGGAGCGTGCTCGTGAGGTCTGGAATCGTATCCGGTGTCTTTCTGAGGAGGGGCCTGAGGCTGTCCGGCTTCGCAAGCACTTGCCTCGCTTGTTCTCGCCAGACGTCTTGCAGCAGGGTGACCAATGGTGTTGCGGGGCAGATTTGACTTCGTGCCCATTGTTTGCAGCTGAGGTGGCAGGCTTGGCATTAATCCCCACTGCAGAGCGACGTGTGGAATCCCAGCATGCCCGCACACAGAAGGGCTCCAAGAAGAGCCCATGCCACAGCCCAGCGTACATGTCTTTGCAGATCAGAGCCAAAGACCTGCGAGAGGCGATGTGCGGAAACCCCAAGGATTTCGTTGCACAGCTTGCACCGTGTGTGAATCAGTGCCGAAGCTACAAGAAGGCGGTGCAAGCCATGAGGCTTTGGCTGCGTCCAGCAGCAGCAAAGCGGTCTTTTGCGGTCCGTGACAGGCGTCTTCGAGATCTGTTATATCGTGCCGACATGTTGAGTCAACATCAGAATATGCCAGAAGTGTTTGTGCGTGACCCAGCCACAAATTCGGCTCGGCGGCCAGCGCCCCCAACAGCAGAGGAGCATGCAGTTGAGGCCACAGCACTGGGTCCGATTCTCAAGCGACTTGCTTTGGAACATGTGCTTGATCGTTTGCCTGTTGTTCGGAACTCAGGAGAACCTGTGGTGTTTGCTGTTGCCTATGAGTCCGGAGCTTTCTCCTTGCTTCGTGAGTTCTTGCTGCCCTCGCAGCAGCAGCCGATGCCCATGTTGACATACTCGTCGCCTGAGGTGGTTGCATCCGAGGACATAGTTGAGATATCCGGCCCTGGCCCTCGCAGAGAAATAGATGTTCTCTTTCAGAAAATCAGCCAAGCAGAAGCAACACATCATCAGATGACAGGCGTGTTTTTCAAGTTGTTGCCATCCATGTCGAAGATGAAACGCTTCCAAGCTGACGGTGAGCTGCGACTGAGCAGCACGGACCTCCCGATCGCATTGCTTCGGGCGGCTTCCTTCAGCCAGGAGCGCAGAGAGCTGCTCGTTGACTCGGAGCTGCTTAACATGAGGTCTGCAGTCCGAGGCCTCGCTGTGGACGACATTCCTTGTGTGCTTTCATTTAGCAGCTTGTCCTTGTCGCAGCTGAAGTCCTTGAGAGTGTTGAAAGTTGACCCCAGCATTGTGTATTGTTTGCGGGCTTGCCAAGACTACTCGCCTCCCCTGTCAGATTCACGGGCCTTACGAGTCGTGCTTGAGAAGATTTTCTTGAAAGGCAAGGCAGGCGTGACGGACACATCGTCTTTCACGGCTGAGCAACGATCACTCCTGTTGCCCTTGCAGCAAAACGGTCTGCTGACTGAGGACCCACCATTCAAACTCACAGACAAAGGTTTGCGTCACGTTTGTTTGGCCAATGCCGTGACCCAGCCACGTCTTCTGCTTGCGAACACGGTGGAGCAGTCGAAGTGGCAGCTGTTGCAAACACTGTTGGACAACGGCTGGGAAGCACGTGCTTGCCGTGCCAGCCAGTGCCGAAAAGCTGAGTCCTTTGATCACCGGGCGGCTGCGCCTGATAGCAAGATCTTGTTCCTTGTGCAGCAAAAATCCGGTGTCGTGGTTGATCGCTTGTACCTGCTCGCTTTGACGTTGGCTGTGCAGCATGACTTGCAGCCAGTTCCGCACGGTCGATCAGCAGATGTGTACAGAAGGCTCCTCGCGGGTGTTCCCGATCTTGCGCTGCCAGAGCCACGGGCACCACGTGCACGAGTGCGTGCCTTCCGTGCCATTGCGGATGGCGATGAATGGTTAGATCATGTGCCTGTGCCTGTGCCTGCACGCAAAAAAAGACGAGTGAAACAGCAGCGGCAGCAACATCCTGGTCCCGACGGTTCCGATGATGCCGGTGATGTCGATGAGTTGCTTCGCATGATAGACGAGATCGACGAAGATGAAGTAGCAGCTGAAGTTGAAACTGAGGCAGCTGAGGCTGCGGCTGAGGCAGTTGCAGGCGACAACGGTGGCGGAGTGGCGCCCATTTTGCAGGACGTCTTGCATCCAGTGCATGCAGCAGAGCCTAATTCCGGCAGCAGTGGGAGCACCTCAGAGTCCGATTCCAGCACTGGCAGTTCCGATAGCAGCTCAGGCTCAGGTGATTCAAGTGGCAGTGGCAGCGGCTCTGGCAGCTTCTCCACCGGCAGCGGAGCCACAGACGGCGCACCGGTGCCGGCTCCCAAAGCGAAGGCGAAAGCAAAAGCAAAATCAAAGGCTAAAGGCAAGGCGAAGGCTCGTGCCGGACTCGGCGGTGCGCTCGGGCCCCTTACCTTTTTCTGGAGAGGCTGTAAGTTTACTCCCATCAAGGGCAGTGATGGGACAACAACTGGATACGAGGCCACCTGCAAGCACGAAGCACATGAGCAGTGCCGTCGGACACTCCTGTTCTCTGCTCATGGCGGGGAAGATAATACGCTGCTCAAGTTGAAGTGGTGGTGCCTTGAAGCAAGGCACTATCCGGACAGGCGGGCCCATGTTCATCGGTGCCCGTATAACATTCGTGGTGCGGCACCCACGGCAGCTCAGCTGGATGCACAAAGCTTCGGCTTCGACTCCGACTGAGGGGGAAAGAATCTGAGTGCTTGAGTACTGTCGACTGTCGTCTGTCGTCAGGTGCAATCAGTGCATGGACGTTTCAGTTGTGTGTGTGTTGTGCGTTGCGCAGGTACACGGCGCATATAACAAGGTCAGGGTCAGAGGTCTAGAGTTGCTTGCCCTCGAACATTCTAGGCAAGCCCAAGTATGTTTCATGCTCATGATTCAGCGAGTCGGGGAGTCAGCAGAGTTACCGTGTTGAAGCCCATGGCCCAGGCGGCCCAGGAGGTCTCTAGTCTGTGGCACTTGTCGGTGCACCTCGTAATGTTGCATCAAATATAATAATATCCCTTGCCCTGGCAGAGACGGTGATAATCTGATAGATACAAAACAAAGAAGAAGATCATGAAGCATCATGATGATGGCGACGGCGACGATGGTGATGAATGATTATGATTGAGGATGCATGTGCCAGGCAGTGGTGGTGATGGTGCTGGTGATGTGTGATGATGATGACGACGATGATGGTCATGCTGATCCTTTTCTGCTGGTGGCTGGTGGTGGGTGGCATGTTGTCTTAGTTGTCTTGCAGTCTTGCCGTCGCAAAAGAAGATGGTGTGATGATGCATATGATGATGGTGATGATAGCTGTTGCGACAAGGACGTTGACCAGGGAGATGGTGGTCATGATGTTGGGGTATGTGAAGATGAGTTGATGAGTGTATTAGTGCTGCTGGTTGTGCAGATGATATTGACGATGCTTGGTGGTGCTAGTGGTGGTGGTGATGTTGACTGAGGACTTGTGACACTAGCTGCCTTGACTCATTGATTGTGGTTCACGCTCCCTGGGACTTTAGACCCTTGGGCCCTTGGGTGCCTGCCCAAACCAATCTGGGGCCCCCAAATCCCTAAGGTCACCCATAGGGCTAAAGTGCACACGCAACGGCCCGAATCCTCATTCGTGAGCATAAACGGTGCATTTCGCACGCAGCAGCAGCAAATCCAGCTGAGAGCAACCTTTTCAGGCGTTTGCAGCATGTTTCTTCAAAAAGTTGGCGAGTTGGCCTTAGGGGCACCTCTAGCAGGCAAGTTTGCTCGCTGGTCGGCTGCTTGGGCTTCCTCCGACGCCCTCCGGTTCTCCTCCGGTTCCTCCGGTTCTCCTCCGGTTCTCCTCCGGTTCTCCTCCGGTTCTCCTCCGGTTCTCCTCCGGGTTTCCTCCGGTTCCTCCGGTTCTCCTCCGGTTCTCCTCCGGGTTTCCTCCGGTTCCTCCGGTTCTCCTCCGGGTTTCCTCCGGTTCTCCTCTGCTTCGAGTTTTGTTGAGATGAGTTTGCCTTTGTAATTGCAAAGAAGGTGCTTGGTAGGATCAGTTTGTCTTGGATTCCACGAAAATCATGCATAATCTCTTGAAATAAGCGAATCCTATCTGTTTCGGTGCAATTCCCTCCAAACAAGCCGAAACCAGCCAGAAACAGTGCACTTTAGAAAAAGTGTTCACCTTAGGGTTTTGGCGCCCCCAGCGCTCGTACATAAAGGGTTTTGGGCGTTAAGGGCAAGTTGGGCTTACAGGCGGTCCTGGATCGGGGCTGTTTGCTTACTTTCGGCTGTTGCGGGGTTTCCTGGTCGGTTTTGGGTCGGGGCTGTTTGCTTACTTTGGGCGATTGTGGGGCTTCCGCGTGGTCTTGGGTCGGAGCTGTTTCCTTACTTTCGGCGATTGTGGGGCTTCTGCGTGGTCTTGGGTCGGGGCTGTTTGCTTACCTTCGGCGATTGTGACTCGTGGGGCTTCCGGGCGGTTTTGGGTCGGGGCTGTTTTTACTTTCGGCGATTGTGGGGCTTCCGGGTGGTTTTGAGTCAGGGCTGTTTGCTTACTTCCCTGTCACGTCGTGTTACTTCATGTGCCCAGCAGATGAGCCATGATAAGCGAATGCTGTCCTTTCATGTGATGTGCACAGCCGATGCGTGTGTATGTATGGTTCCGAGGGGGCCGGCGACGAGCATGATTACACATGAGCAGCAGTAGCAGCAGCAGATGTACTCAGTGCTCAGGATTTCCAAGAAAGGCCGGCCAGCCTAGCGAGCTTGTGCCTTGTGGTTTTCTAGCGCAGTGTGCAGTGTGCTGTGCCAGTGCGAGTTTTTGTCAGAGTCAGTGAGTCAGTGACAGTGAGAGAGTCTCAGAGAGACCGGTCGTGCATAAGTAAAGTTAAAGTAGTGGCAGACACCAAAGGCACAGGTTTAGTATGCATGTTGGCTTTCGTGCGAACACTCTACGTATGCCTTGTAAGCCCACTCTAGTTACTCTAGTAGCAGACTCGAGTTCCTTTCCATGGCAATGGCAGCCGATAGTTATGTGCGAGACTTCCCAAGGCATTTGTTAAGCAAAGCCACAAGAGATGCAGACAACCTTGCTCGCTTGCAATTCTTCAAGGATGCTGGCCTAAAGGTTCAGAGTGTGTGCAGTGGCATTGACGCAGTTGGCGAGGCTTTGAGACTGCTTCAGTTGGCCATGCAAGAAAGTGCGGCAGAAGGCAGCCATGACGGCGACTGGTGGGTCGTAAAAAGCTCCTGGTGTGACAGTGGTGCAGCCCAGCAGGCATTTTTGCTTGCTCGTGCAGAGCAAATGGATGGTCACCTACGACCATGTCTTTTCGAATCTGTGGAAGCGATGGTGCCCGGGAGTGTGCAGGAAGAGTTGGGGATGCTGACACCACCTGCTTGTGCCAGTCGTGATGAGAAGACAGCAGCAGCAACTTGGTACCACCAGCTCGGCCTCTCGTTGACAGAGAAAGGTTCACTGGCATTTCCAGCGGGGCATCAAGCATTTTGTTTGGTGCACAAGCAGCAGTGTCACGTTAGGCAGTCCAGGTGCATGCCAGCCGGCGTGCTGAAGACGAACCCCGTGCTCATGAACTGTGCAGGACTGCCCTGCGTTGCATACAGCAAAGTAGGGCTGCGGCGCCAAGCCGCGGATCCTTCGGAGATGGCCGTCCAGGTGTATCTCAGTGAGCGACAGCAGTGTCTGGAAGATTTCTTCCTTTTCGAGAATGTGACTTTGTTCCCCTACGAGAAGATCGAGGAGAAGTTGCGGGACACTCACCACCTGGTGCCTCTGACCTTCGGGCCCAAGGACTGTCCTGCTGTGTTGCTGCATTTCACTCATTGAAGTCTATGTTCTGTGCAGACAGTGACAGATAGTGACAGTGCAGATTCAATTCCATGCTGTCGCATGAGCAGATTCCGTGTTCGTGCGATTCGCGTGTGTATACTTTATGTTATGCTTGTGTGAGTGTTTGTGTGTGACTGCGTGCAAAATACATCATCAGACTGTCAAAGAATGGCTGCCCTTGCGTACGATTCGAAGCCACAGGGCCATGAGGACACATATCAGTGACTGTCAGTGATTCAAACCTTTGGTGACTTTGGTGCACTTTCCACGGAGCCACGGAGCCAGCAAGGCTCTTGTTTGCTTGGGTCATGTGGATTGTATCTTAACGAAATCCTGATTTCCAACCCAGCGAAATCCAGAGCCTCAAGATGGGGTTGGAATTTCACCAAATCCGTGAACGAAACCCTGATCAAGGGGTGGTTGGAATTTCACCGAATCCGTTAACGAAATCCTGATTTCCAACACCCGAAATCCAGAGCCTCAAGAGGGGGTTGGAATTTCACCAAAGCCGCTCTCCGTTTATACTGTTTCAACCAATAATATATGCGATGATTGGTGTGATTTGTGGGACGTTCGTCCCTGGGCCCTGGGTGGGATTGGCGGGCTGGCATGCTGGAAATCATGTGGACAATGAGCTGTGCAAGTGTTTATGCGTACTGCACATACCTCGTCACATAACTACTTGAAAACCAAGATGACACTGTTATGACATACCTGATTCATCGTGCAGTTTTTCTTGGACAAGATCCAGCGTGAGCCACTCGTGCGAGCACTGCCATCCTTGGAACCATGGACGGCGACTCTCCAGCTCAGCAGAGCCGTCAGCCATCCACTCAGATCGAGAGTGGCGGTGGCAGTGGAACTGCTACGGTGGCCCAGCGACCGCCGACCGTGGCCCAGGCCAAGGGCAAGGCCGCCGCAGCAAAAGTGCCAAGGATGTGTGCTGCTGAGAATTGCCCCAATGAAGCTTGCAGAAATCAGCGTTGGTGCCAAGATCACCGGCGGGCTTATGCAGCCATGGTTATCAATGCAAGGAAGCAGGGGCAGGAGGACGAGCTGAAAGAAGTCATGGCATGTGAGATTCGAAGCAAAGTGGCGATGCGTGATTGGTGCGAGAAGAACCCAGTGGATGGGAAATGGTCTCGCAAGAGAACTCACGACTTCGCGCAGTACCAGCAAATCGAAGGCACCTTGGATGAGCATGGCGACAATGACCAAGATTGGCCGATGACGGAAGCCGAGTTTCTGCATTGGGCCACGGACACCAAGCGACTAACCAGCACCGGGGCCTCCAACTGGTGGAAGGAGTTGCTGGTGTCTTGCAAGAAGGACTTCAAGGGCAGAGAGCCCCATGGGGCTCTGGGAGCTCAGCGCCTTTGGGTGCCGGCAGCGGAGTTTAGTCAGCGCAAGAGAGCCCGCTTCAATCAGTCGCAGGTTGTGGAGAACAGCCGCCCAATGAGGAGATTGGCCGAGGATCTCAGGGCTTTTGCTGCTTCCAGAACAGCTGATGAGAGCTTTCTGCGTGGAGAGCCACGGCGAGTGGCTCCTCGCCTTTCGCAACCGCAGACGCCTTCTGGGCCGGGCCCATCCGCTGCTGCTGCTGGCACTTCGCCAGCCGAGGCAAACACGAGCCCGCAGAAGGAGAAGGCTGTGGACTTGGCCCTCGAGAAGCCCAAGCTTATCAACAAGCAGAAGGCCGAGCTTCGAGGGTTGGAAAATGGTTTGCGAGAGGCAGCCCGGAAAGGCATGGAGCAATGGACCGCCTGCAGCAAGGACTCCACATCCGATCCGTCTTTGCAGGCATTGATGCCTCACCTGGAGTTCCGGTTGCGTTGCTCGGCAGCTGTGTTTGAGTACAAGGACGTTGACTTCCTTCAGGATGTTTCCTTCGCAAAAGACAAGGACAGCGTTGAGGACCTCCTGAAGAACAACCCGGATATGCTGCCGGTTCAGGAGGAGCACGTGAAGCACCTCCAGTCTTTCTCTGGACTCCAAGACGGCATCGACAAGGTCGTGGCAGCGGCCACAACCGTGGCACAGCTGGAGGAAGCTAAGGAGGCATGGGGTGCCAAGAAGCTTGCTCTGAAGTCTTTGGAGAAAGGTGTCAACCAGGCCACCAAGGACGCCAAGTCCCGAAAGGCCCAGCAGGAGAAGGAAGCGCAACGCAAAGCCCAGGCAGAGCAAAAGAAAAAGGATCGCGAGCAAGTGGATGCTTTCAAGGAGCAGAGCGACCAACGTGCGAAGGCGTTGTTGGCAGAGAAGAAGGGTGGCATCAGCAAGAAGGGCTATGTCCTATGTGGCTTGCCAGTTCATGTTCGCGTTCGCGACTTGTTGCGTCAGTGTGTGTGCCCTTCAAACCCACGTGCTTTCGGTACACTTTGTGTACCGTCGTGTCTGGGAAAAGAAAACAAGGTTTCTTTATCCCAAAAAGTTTTTGAACTGATTTATTTTACTTGGAAGTCTTTGACTTTGTGAGCTGTGCAACATGAGAATCATGTCGTGACGTTTGTAGCCACAAGGGTCAAGTGGTGAGTTCTGAAGCTCAAAGGAGTTTCAGGTAGTTCGTGGCCTTGGCCACGCTCTGGGGAGGGCGGCCGCGCATGGATGCGGTGAGCGACTTTGAGGCTCGGCCGGCTGATCTTCTTCAAGTTTTGATCACACCTCTCCCTGGCTTGTCCTTGTGGTATTTTCTCAGTGTGGATTCTCGGCAAGCACTGCAAGCTGCGGGATACGCTTATCACTCCGATTTGCGCTGGTTCTTTGTGGGCGAGTATCTGTTTTCGATTCCTCTGGAGAATCTGGGGGCGAGGAGCACCGGGAGCCTGATCGTGCAGGTTAGGCATGGACGACCAGACGATCGCCCGCTGCGAGCAGAAGCTCAGGGAATCTCACCTTTGGGGGGTCAATCTGGCAAGCCTTAGGCCCGAGGAAGCTCAGGACGTGGCACGTCAACTTGTGGAGGAGCTTGGTCTTTCTGTCTTTGATGAGTTGGTCGACTGGGTCTTGTTCCATATTGAGAGTGCACGTGAAGGGTTGCAGATGGATCTTCGGGCACAGGGGGTACGTGGTTCCTCTCTGGCTTGGAGGCAGCAGCAATCCTTACTTGACGTAGAGGTGACATCGCTCCAAGCCTCTGAATTGGAATTGGCCTTGCCTGAGAAGGGGCGCTTGCGGCGTTCTCGGAAGAGGACCCTGGAGGACAATGAGACCGCTGAGCAGCGGGAGGCGCTCGAGAAGGAAGAGCGCGGGGCCCTCTGCATTCGCCTGCTTGCACTGCTGAAGCGTTTTGGGGCTCCTTGTTTGGGGGATTTTTCGGCAGACATGGATCCTGCAAAAGCTGCACACGTAGTGGCTGGGAGACTTCGGAACAGCAGCTTGAAGAGATATCTCCGGAATGTCAGCGAGCTAACCTTCTGGCTGCTACGGGCAAAACTGAGGGATCCTCCTCCGAGGGCTGGAGATGTCGTTGATTTTCTCTTTATGCTTGCAGACAAGCCGTGCGGTCCTACAGTTCCTGGAGCTTTCTTGAAATCCCTGGCATGGTTTGAGCGGGTCTCTGGATTTGATGCTGAGAGCCGGGTTTCATCGAAGACTGTTTTGCTTTCGACGCGTGACATCATAGTCAAGGAGCTGAGGAAGCCAGGGAACCCAATCAAACGTGCTCCCCGGCTCCCAGGTGCGGTGAGCGCAGCGCTGGAGAGGCTCGTCTCCGACAAGAGAGAGGCGATGGGCATCAGAGTGGGTGCCTTTTATCGGCTTCTGAAGTGCTGGGGGACGATGCGTTACGATGACATCCAGCATTTATCTCCCAGGGCTGTGAGGTTCGTCGCTGGCAGGCTCCTTGCTATCCTTTATGAGACAAAGACGACTGGGCCAGAGCGGCGCCATGTGGAGCTGCCAATCGCGATTACCGAGGATTCCTGGATTTGCAACAGGGACTGGCTGAGTGAGGGCTGGAGTCTGCTTCAGGATTTCGCCGATTTTGATAGGGACTATCTTCTGCCTGCTCTGAGTGACGACTTCAGCTTTTTCAGGCGACGCATGGCAGGATATGCAGAGGCGGCCACGTTGTCAGCCGCTGTGAATCGGAGGTTGACGACGGCAGATGGGCAAAGGCTCATCCCTGAGGAGCTCACCGACATGTGGACGGAGCACAGCGAGCGGGCGACACTGCCCACCATCTTGGATGGCTTCGGTCTGGAGCCCCGGGACAGGGATGCATTGGGTCGCTGGCGTCCGGAGGGCAGCGACGTTTACAGTCGGAGTTTTTCTGCAAAGGTCCGTCGGATTCATAGATACTTCGTAGCCGAGCTTGAGAAGCAGCGTCTGGCGGGGGATGTAGATGATTTTGATGTGCTTGATGCGGCATTTCAGTGGCTCCGCGCCCGAAGGGGCGTTACCGCGGAGGAGGCGGGCCGGATCGTCGATGACTTCAAGGCCCGACTGGCCTGCTGGAGTGCCGAGGAACCGTCTGCACAGGATTCAGATGGCGA